TTTTTCTTTTTATGTAACTGGTTGTTGTAACACAGTTTCTCAGACTTCTGGGATGAATAAAGACTTTTATATTCATAATATGGATCGGGTTAGGCTATAAGAACAACTATGCTAAATTTAAGCATTACAAAATACCTCAATTTAGGAAAAGATTAAGGTTTAAGTTAGATTTGAAACAGCTCTGATTTTGTATCCCTGTTTATGGTTGCCATGGTGATGCATTTTGCCTGGAAAAACTACCTGCTGCATTACTCATAATGTTGTGCTTACTGTTTTGCCCAAAGACCAAGCTCTTTGTTTTTCAGTGTAATTTAAATTACAAGCAATGTGATCAGTTTAGTTACTTTTTAAAATAAACAAACTGACATTTTTTTGTCTGTGTTACTTTTTATTTTGCTACTTGCTAATGAAGTGTATTTAAACCTACAGCTGTGTTAGTCCACATTATGGTCAGCTAGCGTGATGGCAGACAGGACGGCCTTCACATTTTGGAAGTATTTGTATTATTTAGTTCCGGGGTGATAGTCTGTCACATTCTGCTTTACATTCTGCAACCTAAATAAAGCTGCTGCTGCTGCTGCTGCTGGTGAGGTCCATGGTGGAAGAGACTCTGAGGAAACTGAACCTGCTGCTGGTTATGGGGTGAAGTAGGTTTTACTATGAAAGGAAGTCATGACACTGAGAGGTAAGCGCACAGTAGGTTCAAATCATATTAAAAGTATTTCATGATAAATAAAGTATTTGTAATCTCATCTCATCAAGCTAAATACAAAGGGATGTTTATTTCGTTATAAAGTATTGTTTTACTTTCACCCAGTTTCGGGATACTTGGGCACCAGAAATACATACTTGAGATTTGGTTCAAACTGCTCACAAAGTAAAAACCAAATTAAAATTTTTAACCCATGGTCCTAAAAACTGACTCTTGGGGTCCTGACCAGGCGTGACTGACCCTTTACAAAGTTAACCTAATCATGAATGTTATTAGTTTGTGAACCACCACAGTGAAACTGGTATAAAAAGTGGGATTATGAAAGTACAAGATTCTGAAAGATTTCTGACTCATGACAGAATCTGAAGAACAGATTTGAGCAATTCAACCAAATGTACACACAAACAGAAGTTAGAGGTCTGCTGAGATACAAAAGTTTACCAAAAGAAGAAGTGCGAACAACAGAACATGTTTCACTTCCCTCACCACCTTAGGAGGGGCTCACATGAAATATTCCTGTTTGATAAATTAGACAGCTAAAGGGTGATGGGCAGTAAAAGTTGTTTGTGCATGGGCAGAAATGAAAAAAAAAGAGGCAAGGCAAGTTTATTTATATAGCACAATTCAACAACAAGGTGATTCAAAGTGCTTTACAGAGACATTAAA